GCTCCCTTCCACCCATCTCGTTTTGATTTCTTAGGAGAATAAACAGTATGATATTCTGGTACCCACACTGCTTTTTGCCATCTGCAAAGTCAGCAGATGATCTGGAGACGATTGACCTGGATTCTTATCTTATGCAATTACTAAAAGATGACTTAGGATTTCCCTACGGGTAGCTTAAAATACACACCATTCTACCCAGATCCCAAGCCATATTTAGCAGACAGACCTGTCTTCCGTTAATGTAGTTTGCCACTAACCTGAGTTGCTTTCTCTGACGTACTTCTTTGGACAAGCTCTTATTGACTAAAAGGGGAATTTGTCTGGCTAAAAAGTTGGAAGAAAGAACCCCGATCTACCTCCTATAAAACAAGTTTGTTATGGCATCGGATTGCCATGTTTTCTCCCCACACATCGCGCCCTTTTCTTGATCGTTCCTTTGATCATTAACTTTTCCTTTTATCAGGCATATGTTTTATTTGATGTATGCAGTGGGGGCGATATAAAAATCAATAATAAACATAAGAAATAATGTATTTTTTATTATTGGGCATAAGTCATCTAAGCCATTTGCTTTTAAGGAACTTCACAAAATAAAGTAGTGAAGGGCAAAGCTCCTTGGATCTCTGCTGCAACTATGGAGCCATTTCTTAACACATATATTTAGGGGCCGGATGCCCCTCCTTATTTTATCCTTTCTAATTAATTTAGGGTTCGAAACTTGGAGATATCATTTGTGTGTGGGGGGGTGCAATTCTCCAAAACCTTTTTTGGGGGGAAGGAGTATTATTTCCAATCTATTTTTCTGAAAGTGCTGCTGCAGTTCAGTTAAGCACTCACTGGCTGTGTGGCTCCGATTTGCTTTGGAAGACTGCTCCACTTCCTTGTGGGGCGCTGTTGCGGGCAGGCCACATGGTCTCCCCATACACAACAGGGGCATGGCTAAGCCCCCACGTCATGAAGGGAGTCCTGGCTGCGTCCTGGTTTGCTGGGGGGCGTGGCTTAGCGTATTTAAACAGGTACGCAGCCGGGGGATCTCTCTTCTTGTTCCTGCTTCCGTGGATCTCCCGCCCTCCAGCCTTCCTTCCATGCATTCTACAGTGGTACCTCGGGTTCAGTACTTAATTCATTCCGCAGGTCCTTACTTAACCTGAAACTGTTCTTAACCTGAAGCACCACTTTAGCTAATGGGGTCTCCTGCTGCCGCCACGCCTCCACAGCACGCTTTCTGTTCTCATCTTGAAGCAAAGTTCTTAACCTGAAGCACTATTTCTGGGTTAACGGAGTCTGTAACCTGAAGCGTATGTAACCCGAGGTACCACTGTACATCTTGGCCTTGCTATGGATCTTGGTTGGTTGCCTGTTGAGGGGGCCTGGTAGGAATTTTTCCACTTGAAGAAGAGAAGAAGAGGAGGAGTTTGGACTTGATATCCCGGCTTTCCCTCACCTTAAGGAGTCTCAAAGCGGCTAACCATCTCCTTTCCCTTCCTCCCCCACAACAAACACTATGTGAGGTGAGTGAGGCTGAGAGACTTCAGAGAAGTGTGACTAGCCCAAGGTCACCCAACAGCTGCATGTGGAGGAGCGGGGAATCGAAGCCGGTTCGCCAGATTACAAATCCACTGCTCTTTTTTTTTTTAAGAATAATTTTTTATTAACCGACCAATCACATCAAATCAAACCAAATTACATAAATTCCAGATTACACAGCCGAATTTTAAATTTTTGTTGGGGGTACCCATATTTCAAGTTCCGAAGGGATCCAATCAACTTCTTGCTTCTTACTGCTGTTTTAATGTCCACAAATCTAACCTTATGATGTTCACAGTACTATCCAGTCCTTTCTTATTATTTTCCACATCTCTTGTTGTTATTTTCATATATTTTTCCTTTCTCTTTGTGACCTCTGATAGTCTCCGCAAGCTGGTTAGAACAGTTTGTAATCCTGCGTGGATATTTTTTTTATTATCCAGTAGCCATATCCAGACGTTTTCCATATAACATCACTTCCGTACATAAAAACAGTCTTAGCGTCATTAATCTTCACCAATCTGCTCCTTTCTCAAAACCTCTGAGGAGATTCACTAGGAATGCAGTCTGAAAACAAATCCGTTCTTCCTCCCGGCTGTAAATCCTTTGGCAAGATGGCGACTCCGAATTAATTGCTGCGCCATTCCCAAAAGCTCTTATTGCTTCTCTGTCTCCATAAAGCATACTTTTGGTTAAAATTTATCTCCACACAGACCTTAATCATCCTGCTTGGGTCAGTTCAACCGACGGTTCTAATGAGGAGGGGTTCTTGTAAATCACATAGAAGGAAAGTAAAAAGGTCCCCTCCATTCAGCCCCGTTGTCAACATACCCCGCCTTTGGTGTATCTTCATCGTAAAATATTCCTGTTTCTCCAGCCCGTCGTCTTCTTTCGCAGAGGTCACTTAAATTAGCAGACTTCACTCCCCTTCTTCACTTGAAATATGTGCATTTGCTTCTTTTGTAATTAATTATTCCAAATTGCTGCAACTAGTGCGCGATCAGAGACAGCGTCCAGGAGAGCCGATGTCCACACGGGGGCATTCTGCCTAGGGCCCTCACCCCCTTCTTTCGAATTAGGGGGTGATTTATGGGCACAGCAGGCAAGGGCAGTGTTCCCCATTTCCTTGGGGCAACAAGGGAGGCTGCCTACTCCCTTGTTAATTACCCCGTGTGGGTCGGAGAGATGGTATTGTCGGCCATCTTCCAATGCGCCCCCTAGTGGCCCCCCTACAAATCCACTGCTCTTAACCACTACACCACACTTGGCAAATTGGCACCAGCCATTTGGTTTTCACCTACCTCGTAGCAATCGTCACAACTTTTGTAAGGTTTGGTGGTTAGGCACAGGTAAAACCAGGTTCTTGGGAGGGGAGTTTGCGGCCATCACTTGCACCTCCTTTTTAAGAGTATTCCGTTAAAGGGATCTGGGTGTGTGGCTCTTGTCCAAAGTCCAGGTAGGGGCTAGGGCCATGCCACGACCCCATCGGGGACCCTGGGGGAGCTCTTAGTTGATGTACATCAACAGGGCTCCCCATACTGGTGGTTGACCCTTACTAGACTACCTGCATGGCGGGCAGGAGTCAAGTATAGTCGGTTCAATTCCAATGCCTAAGCCAATACCACTCACATTCTGTAACCAATAAAGTTGTGGCCTTTAATTTGCCCATTAACCTAAAATACTGTGTCTATTGTTATTATCCAACAAATGGGGAGGCCTCGGGGCCTTGACACGCAAACAGGGGTTCAAATGCCCCTGGGAAGTTGCCCCATGGATATATTGCAATGTATGGATGAGCAGTGGGATGCGGGTGGCGCTGTGGGTTAAACCACAGAGCCTAGGATTTGCCAATAAGAAGGTCAGCGGTTTGAATCCCCGTGATGGGGTGAGCTCCTGTTGCTCAGTCCCTGCTCCTGCCAACCTAGCAGTACGAAAGCACGTCAAAGTGCAAGTAGATAAATAGGCAAACGGCATTTCCGTGCGCTGCTCTGGTTCGCCAGAAGCAGCTTAGTCATGCTGGCCCCATGACCCGAAAGCTGTACGCCGGCTCCCTGGGACAATAAAGCGAGATGAACACCGCAACCCCAGAGTCGGTCACGACTGGGCCTAATGGTCAGGGGTCCCCTTTACCTTATGGATGAGCAGATGGTTAAGTAGCCCTGAGATCATTAAGCTTCTTTACCTGCTATCTGAGAGTCCTATCCTTGGCTGAAGGCAGTACTAGGGGTGGGTAAGGGAACCTTGTCTATCCTTGGTCTGGAAACCAAGCCCTATGAGGAATTTGTTCCTTAGGCACTTGCTATGTAAGGAATATTCACAGAGCATTCAGGTTCCTTGCATATACAGTGGTACCTTGGTTCTCAAACTTAATCCGTTCCAGAAGTCCATTTCAAAACCAAAGCGTTCCAAAACCAAGGCACACTTGGGGCGGGGGGGCTGGCAGGGAATCCGACAACCATGTTTCAAAGAACTGTATTATCACACATCCTATCCCTGTGCCACTAATCTGCTGTTGCAGTTGAGAATGCAAATATTCATGGCACCCGTGGAACAATTCTGAGCCCAGTATTCTTACCGTGTTATCCACTGAAGCACTGACTTTAAAAAATATATATCTTGGAAGTTGGCAGGATGACATTTGATTCTGTTTTTTATGCTGCTCCACAGGTTCAAGCAGATTATATCTGCAAAAACTTTACAAATATTTAGGTTATACATGCTATACAGTGGTACCTTGGTTCTCAAACTTAATCCGTTCAGGGGTCCGTTTGAAAACCAAAGTGTTCCAAAACCAAGGCGCGCTTTCCCATAGAAAGTAATGCAAAACAGATCAATCTGTTCCAGACTTTTAAAAACAACCCCTAAAGCAGCAATTTAACATGAATTTTACTCTCTAACGAGACCATTGATCCATAAAATGAAGGCAATAATCAACGTACAGTACTATAAAATAAATAAGACAGTATTGTAGATGATAAAAATTAAAATTATTATTTTTTCTTATACTTGCACTGATGATAGTCATTGTTTGGATTTTATCCATTTCCACAGTCACACAATCAATCAATCAATCAATCACAGTTCCACACAGTCACAAAAACAAATTAACCAAAAAGGCCTACAAAAAAAACACCCACAAAATAAATGGCAAAAACAAAAGCGCCAAATACAATGGTACCTTGGTTCTCCAACTTAATCCATTCCAGAAGTCCATTTGACTTCCGAAATGTTCAGAAACCAAGGCGCGGCTTCTGATTGGTGCAGGCACCCCAGAAACAATAGCCGACAGCTGCATCAGACATTCGCCATCCAAAAAACATTTGAAAACAGGAACACTTACTTCCAGGTTTTTGGCGTTTGGGAACCAAGGCGTTTGAGAACCAAGGTACCACTGCAGTACTATGTGTCCCAACTGTACTTAAATCTGAAGTGCATCAAGTAAGGGGTCTGGGGGAGGCAGACAACAGGAAAACTTTATTTGTAGAAGTTTGTTATAGCCTTTAATCAGAGAGAGAAGCTGTTGCCCAGAAACAGTGAGTAGACACACAGGCATGCCAACCTGCGGGAAAGATTTTGTTCCAATGCGCAGAAAAAGGGAAGTCTCAAAAAGCGGGGGAAATAAAGTGTGCTCCAAAGAAAAACACTGACTTGCAGATATATGAGTCAGAGCTGAGACTGCATTCCTTTTGTCACAGTCTCTCTTGGGAGTCGTAGATTCCGGGATGTGGCTATTTTTCACAGCTCTGGGAAACTGGGGGACAGATTACTAAACGGATGAATCACGTCCAAGAGAAATACTTTCGTGTCATCAGGTTTGATCCTGGTCAACAGAATGAGGTAGTGGGTCTGACTGTGCTAGAAATCCTGATTTGAACCGGGAATGAACCATGTTCGGGGGTTGTGTTTCAAGGAAAAGGCGGAGGAGATCGTTGGCAGGATGGAATGTGGATGGAATGACAGTTGGGGGATGACGGCTGGGGAATTTTGACAGTTGGAAGAGAGAGAGAGAGAGATAAGAGGGTGGAGATTAGAGGGTAAGTTTAACTGGGTGGGAAAATTTGAGTTGTTCTTGCTACTTCTAAATGCATTGATTGCAGACGTGAATTTGTTTTCCTTGTTCCTATGCAATCTTGCCTAATGAACACATTTTGGAAAACCTAAAAGATCTTCGTTTTCCCTAATATAATGCAATTTTCTCTGTTACTTTTTTTGCTACTATGTGCATGTTCATGCACACTTTAGCTTAGTAAATACATTTCTGGCTGGGGAACTGCCCTGAAAAATTCAGAGAAGTGCAAACTTCAAAGGATGGCCGTGATTGGCTTCACATCTTGTTCCAGAAAGTGCAAATTACATCGGTTCACCTCTAAATGTGAATGGAATCCAATTTCTCCCCCAACCCGCAGTGCCCAAACAGATGCCAGTTCCTCTCCCAACTGCAGCAAACTGAGCACCAATGTCTGAAAGAAAATCCCAGTTGCCTTCAGCTGAACATGGTTAGAATCCTCAGGATTCCTAAAGGAATGGAAGGATTGCAGCCATGTTCAAGGGAAGGCAGTTCTCTGAAGACACAGGTTGGAAGAAGAGGGGCAGAGTTTGAGCCCTCGTGGGCCCATTTGAATGCCCATGAAGAGCTTGTGACAACTCCGAATCAATTGAGACTGGTCTGCAGAGAGAAATCAAAGATCACATGAGAGATACAGAAAAGAACATAAGATGGAAATTCATTGGACAGTTTCATAGGATCTTAGAGTTGGAGGTAACCCAAGGATCATCTAGTCCAACCTGCTGCAATGCCAGAATCTCACCTAAAGCATCCATGACAGATGGCCATCCAACCTCTGCTTAAAAACCTCCAGGGAAGGAGAGCCCACCAACTCTCATGGGCGTCTGTTCCATTGCTGAACAGCTTTTACTATCAGAAAGCTTTTCCGAATGTTAAGTAGGAATCTCCTTTCTTCCAACTTGAAGCCATGGTTCATGTCCTACCCTCCAGAGCAGGAGAAAACAAGCTTGCTCCCTCTTCCATGTGACAGCCCTTGAGATATTTGATGATGGCTATCGTATCTCCTCTCAGTCTCCTCTTTTCCAGGTTAAACATACCCAGCTCCATCAAGCGCTCCTCATAAGGCTTAGTTTCCAGACCCTTGATCATCTTGCTTGTCCTCCTCTGCACACGTTCCAAATTGTGGGGCCCAAAATTGGACACAGTGTTCCAAGTGTGGTCTGACTAAAGCAGAATAAGTTAAGTAAAGGTAAAGGGACCCCTTACCATTAGGTCCAGTCGTGACCGACTCTGGGGTTGCGGCACTCATTTCGCTTTATTGGCCGAGGGAGCCGGCATACAGGTCATGTGGCCAGCATGACTAAGCTACTTCTGGCAAACCAGAGCAGCGCACGGAAACGCCGTTTACCTTCCTGCCGGAGCAGTACCTATTTATCTACTTGCACTTTGACGTGCTTTCAAACTGCTAGGTGGGCAGGAGCAGGGACCAAGCAACGGGAGCTCACCCCGTCGTGGGGATTCGAACCGCCGACCTTCTGATCGGCAAGTCCTAGGCTCTGTGGTTTAACCCACAGCGCCACCCACGTCCCACCAGAATAGGCAGAATAGAGTGGTACTATTATTTCCCTTGATCTGGAAACTATACTTCTGTTGCTGCAACCTAGAATAGCATTAGCTTTTTTCGCTGCTGTTTGTCTCTGGGTCCACCTCCTTACTTAGTCATGAATTCATTGTACAGTCCTCATCGAAATCTATGCAAGTCTCTGTTCCCTATCTGCTAAAATACCTGTTGTGCAGGTGTAAGGTGAAGGGAACACTGAAAAGGATGCGGGACTTGAATATTCATGTCACCTTAGTCCTTAGAGATCCTACATACAAATGCATTGTAGTGTTTTATTCGTTGTCTTATGTAGGGCCTAGAACAACCTGATTTGCTTCCATTGAACTAGTCCCTGGGGCTTAAAATGGTATCATGTTGCTTTTTGCTTTTGCTTCAACTGGATTTCTTCTGCCTTTGACATTTCTACTGCACTCCCCCCCGCCACCCCCCCAGCTACAATTTCTATTTTTATCTCAACCTTCAATAGTTAGGTGCTTTCTTTAAAAGGTTTCGGTTATGCTGAAAGAACAAACAAAATCAAACTGCACCCATGTTGTGCTTTCTTGAGAACTCTTACTGGCTTGCTTAAACTTTGTGGTTGTGAATCTCTGCAGGCCCAATGCAAAACTACTTGTCCTTCCCCGCAGAGGGGGAGCTACTAATTTGGGAACGCCTTCTTCCAAAGTCAGTGGGATTTGAGACTTCCTCTTCATGGTATGCTAACAGCAGTGAGGAACCTTTTCCAGAACATCAGGAGAAACTTCCTGATGGTAAGAGCACTATGACAGTGGAATAATAAATAATAATAATAATAATAATAATAATAATAATAATTTATTTATACCCCTGCCACTCTGGGTGGCTTCCAGCAAATGATTAAAAAGGCATTAAAACATCAGACATTAGAAACTTCCCTAAACAAGGCTGCCTTCAGGTGTCTTCTAAACGTCAGATAGTTGCTTATTTCCTTGACATCTGATGGGAGGACATTCCACAGGACAGGCGCCAACACCGAGAAGGCCCTTTGCCTGGTTCCCTGTAACTTTGCTTCTTGTGGTGAGGGAACCAGCAGAAGGCCCTCAGAGGAGGACCTCAGTGTCCAGGCTGAACAATGGGGGTGGAGACGCTTCTTCAGGTATACTGGGCCAAGGCCGTTTAGGGCTTTAAACCAGTTTTGAAGATAGTGGTGGGCTTTCCTTCACTTGAAGTCTTCAGTCAGAGACTAGGCAGTCACATGTTGGTGATGTTCTAGCTCTGGATTACTTGTACTGAGTAGGACTTGGTGTTCTTGAGAAGCTGCCCACTGCCCACACTCCAGGGATGTTTCCACCATTTACAGGGAGAGAAAACACATACACAGTGAGAATTAATAGGGCTAAGTGTCTGCGTTTTAACTTGTGCTTTGGGGAGGAGCAAACGTTTCATCTTGCAAAAGTCCAGGTACCTGCATGGATTCCCTATGAAATGGGCAGTGTTGAGCAATGGATGCATCTGACCCCAAGCTAGTTAAGACAAGGGAAATAGGGGGAGCAGGACAAACATGGGTCTACTCAGGTTGACATATCCCTGTGAAAAATATTCAACATACTGACTAGGGCATGCAGCCTTGGGTATTGCACAGATGAAGAGATGCTGGAGTGAGTTGGTCCAATCAAATTACATGGGGAGGAATCAGACTGTGCCTTCACCTGCCACTTTGAGAACCATTAGACTTCAGTGCTTCATTTTAAATGCCTCTGAAAGACAAAGTTGTGTTCTGCCTTCAGGGAGCTAAAGGCAGAAAGGGAGCTGGAAAAAATTATATTTACTACCAGTCAAGCTGTATCTCTTGCTCCAGTTAGCATAACTATGCTCATAAGTGGCCATTATTCTATAAGTGCTCCCTTAAATTATCTGTGAGAAACCCAGTTCAACACATCTTCAGTACTAATGCAAGACTCCAGCCTGATGGCTGGTAGAGGAGCTTCTGAGAAGAGCCTAGGAGTGGCATGAAACACAGAAGCCACCAAGAGACTTTCATATCAGCTGGTGCCGTGCCATCCTGGTCCAGATACCTACAAGGAAGACATAATACTAGTTTGGAAGCTTTCTATGGCCGGTGGAATGACCACCCTGTAGCAGTTGTTGGGAGCAGAAAACACAGATGACTGTTATCAAATGCAGAGATTGCCTTCCAACGTTGCTCACATGCCATGAAGTGCAAAAATGCCCCAAGAGACAAATGCCATAAATGCTTACTAATGATTGACAGGTGGGCAAGGCTCACTGGGACAGCCCTGATGGGACAGATTGAGAGGTCTTGCAGACTGGATAAGACTGGATACGGCTGAAGGTTTCCCTGCGTACCTGATTTCACTAGCAAAAAAAGGATGGTGGTCCTGAATATCCCACTATTCAGCTCCATTGGATAATCCCAGTAAACAACATTATATGTGAGGTAGAGAAAAAATAAGTTTATGTGCCTCTGTCATGCCCCTCCTTACTCGCTTTTCCCTCTAAGTTTAAAAACAAAAACCTTCTGTTGCCCAGAAGAAGAAAATAGTGTCCACACTTGTTTGGTTATCTATTATCTTTCCAAAAGAATCCCAGGATGGCTTCTAAAACACAAACCAAACACAAAACAAACATTTGGAGTCAAAACTAAAACCACACCTTAATAACAGCAAGCCCATAAAGGTAGCTTTGCCGTGCAATTCTATGTGTGCCTATGCAGATATAAACCCCACTGAGTTACTCCCAGGTAAGCGCGTGGAAGGTTTCACTGTTAAAATAATCATTCTTCAAAGCAGGAGCAAATAAAACCGCACCAATCACCTCAAGCTGGAAGTACAAGTAAAGAGGTCTTCACCCTCCAGCGAAACCAAGTGAGCAGTTTGGAGACTTGCAGTGGGAACTTGAAGGGTTTGCTAAATTGGATTCCTCCCATTAAAAGTGTTCATAACTTGAAGTGGAGTTATGTATTTTTCATCTGAAAATACTGAACGCTGCCCCCGCTGCAGTGGGGTAGAACATGGGTGAAGTGTTCCCTAAGCACCCATGAACCTGTCATTAAAGGAGTCGTGAGTTTTCCAGTTGGGGGATTACATGTTCCTTAATGTTACAGGATGTATCACTTGCAGAGAATTTCTGCCACCGCAAGCTAAGAAAACAATAAAAAAAAAATGTATTAAATAGCAGCACAGATTCAACATCCATATTTCATCCAGATTTTTTATTCTTCTGTGGTTTCTCACCATGGCCAGCCATGTCATGCCATTAAAATGAAGCCCCTAAGTAAATGACTGGGAGATTAAAAAAAAACAAGCCAGCACCACACCGTTTGCGAAAGGTAACCAAATTCCTCTTCCTGACAGGCTGTAAACAATGTCACAGGATGACATTGTTTTTCTTTCCACAGCCCTGCCAAGTGAAAGAGGAAGCATGAGATTAGAAGAAAATATTTAAATCAAAAAACCAAATCCTCAAGTGAACATTGGTCAAGTCCCTCCTTCCAGTTCAGTTTGTAAAGCAGATGTGCGCTTAAGAGAAAGAGATATATAATTGCTGAGTTAGGGGGGGAAAACCCATTGGGAAGAAAAACAAAGTTCAGGGACCAGGTCTTCAGCTGACATTTGCTGCGTTGTCTCTACTAAGCAGATCCTCTCCACCAGTGATATCTTGAAGTATTGCGGGGGAGACTGGTGGATGCTTTTAAATGAAAACTATTTGGTTTGAATTTTCTGAATAGGCCGAATCTCCTGAATTTTCTAGGGTGACAAGTTATACATTTGCATTTTTAAAAATGCATAAGCTATTTTATATATCTAGGCCAGGATTCAGCTAAGTCCTTGCATGTGTGGAACAAAGTCTACTCGTGCAAAGGGACTTCCCCTGTCTCCTCCCACCCACATGCCTCCCATGCTCCCTAAAACTTCTCTGGAGGATTGCAGGAACCCCCAGAACAGATTTTGAGCAGGGGGCATATGAGGGAGCAGAGGGAGGAAAGTCTCATTGCTCAAATGGATCTAATTTCATGCATGCATACTTCACTTAGCACTACACTGAATTCCAACCTAGATGCAAATTTCAAAATAAGTACCATAATGCAGTACATCTTGTCCTAGTACAGTGGTACCTCGGTTTTTGAACAGCATAGTTGTGCTGGTCCCGGGGGGGGGGTACCATGCGGCATGGTCTGAGTCCGGTCCTAGGTCGAAGGTAAGGAGGCTATCCATCAGGGGCGAAGCAAGGTCCAAGCGAGGAGTCAGGCATGGTCAGGAGAGCAGGTCAGGGTGCCGGCAGGAACAGGCTACCAACGATGTTGCTCCCGCAACCTGGGACTGGGTTGACTGGCCTTTATCTCCTCTGAGGCATAGGGCGGTCCTGGCCCACAGGTGACTCGCCTCCCCTGGCCTTAAGGCGAGCACTCCTCCTGTGAGAAGTTAGTTCCCTCCGCCTCTCTACCCTGAGCCTCTGCAGCTCCGGAGAGGCTGGAGGGTTACTGGACCCAGAGGCAACCTCACCTTCCCCTGACAGGGCTGGGAGAGACACACCTGCAGGCAATGGGTCCTGAGAGAGACACACCTGCAGGCAATGGGATCACCTCTGGAGCCAGAGCGGATTCAGCTGGTGTCTGCTCCTGAGGATCCGGCACAGGTGAGGGCCCTTCAGGTTCAAGCCCCAGCCCCGGCTCAGCCGGCCCTGGAGGCGGGGACTCCTGTGCAGGCTGGGATTCCTCAGGTTCAGCCTCTGAATCCGATTCCCAGGCCATCACATTAGTTCACATACAACTTGGAGCCCAAACGCTGCAAAACTGGAAGTAGGTGTTCCAGTTTTTGAGCTTTTGTTTTCAGAAGCCAAATGTTCTTCTAAAATCTCCATATAAAATGCTAGACTCACGAGGAGGAGAAGCTAAACTGTGAACAAATGTGATGGAAAACACCACTGAGCGCATTCTTACGACACGGTTGCCCCCGGTGCATTCAGACACATTACTGTGTAGCAAGTGCTAAGTACTGCGGAAAAGGGGAAGAAGAGTGGTATGGGGGTGGGGGTGGCGGAAGCAGCCTGATAATCAGCTGCCCTCTTCCACAGAGTATAGGCTGGATACACAAAGCAGGGCTGTAATGATTTCTCCACCCCTGCAGTTTCACTTGTAAGAAGAGATCAGCAGCCACTCTCTCTAAAGTCCCTCTCTAAAGCAGGGCTTGAATGTTGTGTGCAAACAAACAGCAGGGAACCCCGAACAGTTTGCAGAGTACAAACAGGATGGCATCTTGCTGCTTCACACTGCGCAGGGCTGCCATTGTCTGGGTGATCCACAGCAGAAATCAATCGAGGAGACTAATGATGGCTTCAGAAGGGGATGAAAGGAAAAGAGACGGAGACTAACAAGGTGGAAAAAGGCACGGCTGTCAGAAAACGTGCCGGCATTGCAAGAAATTGCTTGTTGTTCATTTTGGATTTGCTGGTAGAACAGTAAGGCCAGGCTGTACCATTGCATCCCAACCAATATCCTTTGCAAGGTTGCAGGGTATGTTGGGTTGGCACCATGTGACCCAGGATTTGTGCCCCCAGCATCCTCTGTGAGATTTTGTGCCATACAATTCACAGACCCTCTAAGTATCCCTGTTTTCCTGGGACAGCCCTGGATTTAGAAGTCTGGGTGCCTACTGGAATGAATGAATGAATATGATAATTTATTACTTATACATCACTCAGGCAGAAGATATAGAAGCATGATTAGTCGCACCAACAGGGTAAAGAACAGCTTCTATCCGTGGGCTGTTAGGCTGCTGAATGAAAAGATAACAACAGGGCAACTGACTTTCAGGTTTAGTGGGTGTGCGTCAGTAAACGAGGGGAATTAGGACTAAGAGAGCTGAGTGGGGGGTGCTCGTGTTATCTCACTGTATACAAGTTGTGCAAGTGACAATAAAGTATTTCACTCCTCTGACTGGGTTGCCCCAGCCACTCTGGGCAGCTTCCAAGAAATTGAAACATCAAACACAGTAAAAATCAAACACAAAAAACTTCCCTATACGAGACTATATGGTGCCACTACCGAGAAGGCCTTCTGCCAGGTTGTCTGTAGCTTCACTTCTCACAGAGAGGGAACCACCAGAAGGCCCTCGGAGGAGGACTTCCATGTCCGGGCTGAATGATGGGGGTGGAGATGCTCCTTTAGGTATACAGGGCCAAGGCTGTGTACTAAGACAAGGGAGCGTGGGAAATACAGTTCTCAAGCCATATTTCCCATGCTTCATTGCTCCAGTAGATGCTGCCACATGTGATCACGGCAGAGTCTAGGTATTAATCCTGAGGCCTGCACCTAGCCTTTCCCAGTTGAATTTGGGAAGGGGGGGAGGTCCATGAGGATTGGTGGAAGGGAAGATGCCATGGGGTCAAGCTAATTCTGAACCTAGAGGGATACGGGTCCAATTCAGGATGGGTTTAAGGGATTTGAATTAGAGGTGGAGCTAGCTGCTCTGGCACCCAGAGCAGCGCACATACTGTGCACCCGGGAACAGGGCCATGGGGGTGGGGCAAGTGTCCCAGGGGGCCGCTGTGGCGAGCATCCCAGGGGGCGAGACGCCCAGGGGGCAGAGCAAGCCTCCCAGGGGGGTGGAGCGAGCCACCCATTGCGGGTTGCTTCCTGGGCGGGGGGGGGGGACAGAGCCGTGCCGCTTTGCTAGCAACTTTCCTCCCTTCCCTCTTCCTTTTGACAGCTTAGGAGGGCTTCCCCCCCAAGGAAGCAGCCCGGGAGTGGGGGGCAACGGTGCATCACCCTCCTCCCCACAACTCCCAAGCCTCCCCTGAGCTGTCAAAATGAAGGGAGGAGGGGGAAAGGCCACCTGGAAGGCAGCTCAGCTCCGCCCTTCCCCCAACGGCTCAGGGTAGGCTTGGGAGTCGCGGGCAGGTAGTGCGCCGAATGTCACCCCCCCAGTGATGACACCCGGGGCAAGCAGCCCCCACCGCCCCCCCTTCCTCCGCCCCTGATTGGAATACACAAATTCAATCTCTTCTTCCTGAGATTTGGTGCCATCACTACTTTGACTTGCCACAACATGGTGCATATGGTATCATCTGCCTTTCACTGGACCACTTATGTCCCTGGTTGCTTTCTCCAATACAGTGATATCTCAGGTTACATATGCTTCAAGTTACATACGCTTCAGGTTACAGACTTCGCTAACCCAGAAATAGTACCTCGGGTTAAGAACTTTGCTTCAGGATGAGAACAGAAATCGTGCGGCGCCAGCGGGAGGCCCCATTAGCTAAAGTGGTGCTTCAGGTTAAGAACAGTTTCAGGTTAAGAACGGACCTCTGGAATGAATTAAATACTTAACCCAAGGTACCACTGTATATCAAAGAGAGTGCGGGGTGTGGCTATCTGTCTGTGGCAGGCTAAGAACACTAAGGTGTGTGCTCATCAGCATCCCAGCTTCAAGGAGCCCTGGGACAGGTAGATTTTAGGGAACCTGACACCCACACCTCTTCGTCTTTGACTCAACTGTTGCGAGAACTTTTCCAGAGGCAGATTTCCAGCTTGCTTGTCGTTAGACCTCTGAAGAGCAATCAATCTGGAATCAATTCAGGAACTTGAAGCTACAAGTTATCTGTTCTTGTTTATTCACCATGAGGAGAAGGCTTTAATTAATATAATACATAGTGGTCAATGCCTTGCTTTTAAACTTTACCTTTTCCCCATTGGTCAATCAATATGTATTTTAATCTTTCTCCCCTTTTAAATGCATTTTAAAAGTCCCACAGAACAGGAGTAGCAGATTGCACGGTTATTAATTGCTATTATCAGCTCTTTCATTTTCCAAACATCAGCAGTTTCTATAAATTCCACTTTTATCCTTATACTTAAATCACCTTAGTCTTGTACATCACTTACATCTGGAGACAACTGGTCCACAACTGAGGAGATATTCCGTTAAGCCAACAGTGGTTACAGATTAAAACCAAAAACCAGCTTCTCCTTTTTTAAAAAAAACTTTCCTAATTTTGACAATGAGAAGAGATAAAGATATCCCGTGATTAATTTCACGGCGCTTCTGTATCACACTGGGAGTGAGGCGGTGCTTACTATTTCATATCTACCACGTATAATGTAGTGAGGTGGAACAGAATTGGTGGAGGTTCAAAAACCATGAGATTCCTAGATTGTTGTGGCATCTGCAGCTGAGCTT